ATAGAACCCACTGTCCTTGAAAAATGCAGCCACATTGTCTGAGTGAAGTCAAGAGGTTTCTAAAGGTGGGGTAAACTGCAGGAATGTGAGTGCATACGCGATCGTGTTGGTAACTGCCGTCCACTTAAAGAGCAAATTCACTCAATTTAGTGCAAGCTCAGTCACTTTGTGAAGGTCAGTCAAACCAGTAATAAGTGATTGTTTGAGTTGTTTTGGGAGATCACTCCTGACTGAGCCGATACCAGAGGACACGTAGACGCTGGTCGCCAGAAGAAAAAGACAGGGTTGTGGTCCAGATTAAAGGTTACTGTTTTATCCTGTGGGGATGGAAAGGCCATCTTTCATTTCCTATTTAATAAGTGTGTGTGTGCGTTTGTGCACGTGAGTGTGGGTTTGTATAGGTATGGGTATGTGAATGAGCAAAAATGGTCATTTTTAAAGGAGAGTGAATAATCTATTCTCAAATTTAGGTTTTTGACCTTTGATAAACTGATATGTAAACCTGATAAATAAGACTGATCAGGGGGGTTTTCATAATATAGATGTTGACTCCCAAGTTCACAATTTTAGACCACTTACAAAATGTATATTTATCTTTTAGATGCTAAGTTAAAGATTGCATTAGGCAATGACTTTTTCTAAACTTATGCTCACCAGAAGAAAAAGCTTACAAGCTGTACAAGAATGTTGCTGTGCATGCACTGCAATAGAATATAGGTTGTTGTAAATACCCAGTACACACACTGTCATTTATTAATGTATGGTATCATTGTTTTGAAAGTAATGCTTCATGTAATACAAGTGGGAGAGGAAGGTGTTCATTCATCAGTGTGTGTGAGCGGGTCATATTCTCAACAGATCATGCAGCAGTGTGCTACAAATAAAGACTAATAGCTCAGTTCAAAGGCAAATAAGTCTACTAACACCAAATATTAACTCTTAAGACATACAGGCAGAACAATCATCCATCCATTTAAGAGCTTTTAGCAAACACACTGGACTGAGTGACCAATGCTACAATTCATACGCTCAACAAGTTCACAGGAAGTCACACAAGATGGCTGCTATAAAATCAGGGTAAAGAACCTGGGTGTAATTATGCCACAGTATTTAATTTTCAGAATGTGACATATTTACCCATACACAGTCAGTCCTACTGGTTTGGCAGCGCAGGGAAAGAGGGAACAAAGGAGAGAAAAGCGGAGTGTGAGAAAAGGCAGCAGGGAGAGAGACAAGGGAAACAAGAATGATTGAGAGGAAAGGCCCACATACAAATCCATACAGTGATATATGTATTCGGCGTCCTGTTTCACTCCCTTTTCAGTCATATGACCCTGTAGTAAGTCAGCGTAATAGCCATGGCTCAGGGAGCCATGTGATTTAGAGACAAGAGTTTCAACCTGTGAATCTGGACAATATATCACTGCCTCCCCTCCTCTCCTTCCCCGCTTTATCTCCACACTTGGCTCTTAGTTGTTGTCTGTTTCAAGCTATTTCTCTCTTTTGTCTGTTCTCTCTTTCTGTTGCTTTCTCTCTCTCTCTCTCTCACACACACACACACACACACACACACACACACACACACACACACACACACACAGGCAGACACACTCTCCCAGGCACCTCCCCTCCTCACCCCTGAGGCTCACACAATAAGAGCTTAATGAAAAGGTACTTTACACTGGCGGCTGTGCACTGGGGAGATATCTTTAAATGTCACTGTTAATGGGAGGAATTAGCAGAGAGCAGGGTGTTCTGTATCTGTGTGTGAACGTGAGCATCCTGATGACAGTGTGTGATACCTGGTTAAATGAGTTATAGTTTATTTGTCCTACTGTGTGTTTGTGTGTGTGCGTGTGCCAGTTCACCAGAGTTCATGTGCTTGACTTATGTTCCCCAGGTCTCGGCTCTCCGGATCCCGACTTGATTACAGCATATCACTGCAGATACGGCCATGACCCCGCTGTGACCCCAATAATTTAACCCCACTGCCTGATGGGAGTTTGCAAAATCAGATGATGCCGATCTTCTTGAGCTGATTGATTTAACTACAGCAATAATTCAGCATATCATTTATTTTTCCCCAGTCTCCTTCCTTCGAATCGAGTATCTCAGTGGTGCAATGCATCACAACTCCAGTGAGCCTAGAGGACTACAGCGAGAACGATTGATGTTCTTCCAGGGATCATTGCTGAGAGGGTCTATTTAATGGTTACAGTAACAGTTGAATGACATGAATGAATGAATGAATGAATGATTGAATGAAAGTTGAAAAAGAAGGCAGTTCGTGTTGCAGCAGTCTTATAATCTCAGCTGATGAAATCGTGATACACTGAGGTGGAATGATAGGTACTTTCTCAAACTTTGGTTTTACGCTGGGACACAGTGGACAGAACCACTGCAGAATTTATCACTTTTGACCTTTTGCTGAACTTTACCCAGTCTGTGGCAGATATTTGCAGAGCCTTGTAGAGAGCAGCATGACTGCTAGAGAGAGAGAGGGATAAGTGTCCAAGAGAGAAAGGAGGAGAGTAGTTTAGAAGGGAAGGAGGTCATGAGTGTGTCTGTGACTTGCTGCCTCCTTCATATCAAAGCAGCTTTTAGGGAGCAGTTAGCAGAGCTGCAAATAGGCGAATAACACAATTTACAGCGACACAATCTGTACATTTAACATGACCCCAGGTTAACTGAATTTAAAATGGCACGTTCAAAAAGGAACTCTTGCTAATGAACGACACTCCTCCTTTGATTGTCTCACTTAGGCATAGATTTTAGATTGCCAGGAGATGCACAGATGTGTGCTGTGATCAGAAGTAGAGCAAGCCACCACAGGGAAAAAGGGAGAGATTTGCACGTGACTGCTAGACTGCAGAGTGTGTCTGCAAAGTCATCTGAGGTCGGCCAGTCTGTGTGTGATGAGGCAGATGACGCAGAGTAAGGGCTTAGGCCGAGTACAGCACTGTGCCACACAGGCCCAGGCTCCCACACAGAAACACCTTGCATACTAGATTAGATAGTGATTGAACCTTGGCTTTATTTGCCAACAAGAAAGCCATACAGAGTGTCAAGTGGAGAGCTAAGCTACATTATAAAAGATTTTGAGTGTACACCCATATCTCAACTCTGTGAGGATGTGTTTTGATCTCAATTCAAATGTCAAAATGTGAACATGCTAATGACAATGCTAAAGTTAGCCTAAGTTTTGCCTTCACCATCTTGATTTAGTGTGTTAGCATGCTAACATTTGCTACAACATGAATGTGTCTGTACAGAATTTCAACAGCTGTAGTGATATTTCAGTGTGGACCAAAGTGGTGGACCTACCAACCGACTGACAGACAGACAGCATACAGACAGACCACTAGCACGGCTTAAAATTTTAACAAAGCAAGTCAAGTACCAAATGAGAAGCAATAAGCCTGCAAAAAAAGGCAGCAATAACACATATATTGTAAAATAAGCCGCTTTTGCCAATGTATTGTAGCTGAAGGAAGGACTGGAGCAGAGCTGTACTGGCCTTCCTCCAGCCCCATCCCAGGCACAGTCTGGGCAGTGGCTGTATATTGGTTCATGTGAACACACCACTCCTACAGGATGAGAGGTGACTGAATCTAGGCACTGGATGCAGCTCAGATTCCATGTTAGCCAGGATTTGACTTCAATCCCAGTTCTTCAAAGGCTGTACTACGCATTTTTTTCCATTTCCACTGTTGGATCCAGGGGCAGACATATCCCTTTCATCAGGAGGTGCTTTTCTCTGACAGCACAGATTAGCGAGAGGCAAATGCATTTAGAAACGCCATGCTCATTTTCCTTGCTCACACACTGAGCTTTTACCATGCTTTGCATCAATAAATGGTTCATCCGAGGTCTTCTACATGTTGTCCCATGAAATTCAACATATGTATTTTTATGTAAATTCAAATCATATGAGGAATACAAAGTTCAAATGATACCAACAGTTTAGTGCATATGCAGAAGAACAGCCACTTCAGATCGGGTTGATCTCTATCTCTAGAATTTAATGTGAAGATAGGGGACTGTGAGGTATGGACGAATAGGGAGACAAGGAAAGAATAAGCTCAGACTGGTGTTGACAGCAGGGATGCTTGGTGACAGGAACTCTTTGGGCTGGGCCTCAGCTCTCTCTGCTGGAGTGTGGAGCCTCGGTCTCTGTCCTGGAGTTCCTGTAAATCCTGCCTTCTGCTGTTTACACAAGGGCTGACGCCGATGTTACAGGGGCCCACTCCTTCCATCTGGAGGAAACAGGCCCACGGGGTGCTGATCTAGATACTGCTTGAATTTAAGATCTACAGTGACAAATGCTAGCGTGCTGTTCATCATATTAGCATGCTAACATTTGTTTATAGCAATTTACATAAACTACAGCTATGGCTAATGGAAATATCATTGGTTTTGCAGGTATTTGGTGCAAATGTAATATACCACACATACACACACACACACACACACACACACACACACATATATATATATATATTTCCATATATGATATAGATGTACATATAAAATAAAAACATTCCCTATGTGTAAAAATGATATATAAAACCTATTAGAAATTGGAACAATTTCAAATATTCACATATACTGTATGTCTAGCCCATATGTTTATGTATGTATGCTTATATTTTAGACATATGTTAACATATATCCACCCAAATGCTTGTCAATATATGTTAATATTATACACAGTAGGGTCAAAAAGTCAGAGACCACGTTTCAAGAATGGGTAGACATGGATAGACATGTTTAAAATTGATAAGATTTTTTTATTTGTATGTTGTTTTCATAAACTTGCATATATATATATACATTAAATATATATTGTCAACATATATGCTCACAACATTATACTATATAAAAATTAATCAAAGATATTTTACAAATTTTACTAGTACTTCATATATGTTATGAACTTATATCTTCATGTATCCAGTGGATTGTATATACTGTATGTAATAATAAAATATCCCTTTTAAGGTGACATATATGGCAACATCACTTTTGATATACATCTCTGTATTGGTTGGACAAATCAGAAATTTGACCTAATGGCAGCACTGGATGAAAAGTCAGAGGATCCCCAAAGACAGTAGGGATCATTTTCTGAGCATCATGAATATCTGTACAATATTTCATGGCAATCCAACAAATAGTTGTTGAGATATTTCAGTCTGGACCGAAGTGGTCATGTGTGGTGGTCATCCCTATAGAGTCATGCTGCTAGCATGGTGAAACATTTGTTTAATATCTCAGAGAACTTCAAAATACAAAATCACATTTTGTGCAAAAGAACATCGTACTGCTTAAAGAGGCAAAGTCTTTTGAAACTGTTCTGCTCTTAGAACTAAAGTAAGAGGAGTTAAACCCGCTGTGTGATTATCATTTCTACAGCCTTCTGGTCCTTTCCCAGAGAGAGCAATCATTCCCCATGCAAGAGATTGTGTAGAGACTGTGAGAGCATCAGGCCATCACTGATGCAACATCTGGGTAAGAGAGGATGAAGACAAACACTCACCCTAAAAGACACAAATATATTTATGTTATGCACATATTCAACAATGTTTTTGATGCATATAACTGTTGTGAAATGTTGTGGTTGTAATAGCTCTGGAATTTTGCACAATATGCCAGAAGAGAAAAGCGGTATAAATAAGATAATGTAAGGGCCCTGAGATTAGTAGATTTTTCAAGACAAACAAGTCTCCCCTATCATGTATTTGTATTCTGAATGTTTCCTTGCCAGGGTAAAAGCTGCCTTTCACGACAGGCACATTTCCTTTGAAGCTGGGGGCAGGGTGAACGCAGAGATCCAGATTGCACAACGGGAATATGGGCCAGGAATCCGGGATCATGGATATGGGAATAGGCAGTGTCCTTGGGAAAGTGAGCTGTGTTGATAAGCAGCTGAGGGATTCCTGGAATGGAAATGGGGTGAGCCAATCGATCAGGAGAGTAAAACCCTGAGGCGGAGCAGAGGTGGTGATGGGTGGAGTGGGAGGTTCAACTGAATGATGGTATCTCCATCATTACTCTAATCCCCCTCGATTCCACAGACCAATTGAACATTCTGGAAAATTAACATTTGTTTCACCAATCGCCCCTCACACACATGCAAGGGCCAGCAATTCTGCATACTCAGTCCCATTAACAGTAAATCATGGATACTTTATTGCTGACTATTTTGCAAACCACTATTTCAGGATTTTTAAATAGATTTTTTTTCACCCTCCAGGCCACCATTAGTATCCATTCGTTTCTGTAAGGTTGAAAATCAATTGGCTGACTCTTGAGACTTTCTTACGCTGTGCCATCCATCACAGTGAACATCAACTATGCATTTATTTTTGTCAAAGTTACAGTTGTCAGGGAACGCAGTGCACACTAAACATAATAATCAGCAATGATAATGAAAAATACTGTAATAAAGCACAATGATGCTTTAATATTTTTTAATATCTGAAGACCCCCTCTGAAATAAGCAGTCAATGCCATGACTGCATGTTTCCATCTTGGAACTGCAGTGAATGACAGTCTCATAAGACGGATTCAAACAGCCAGGGCTTCATACGTCATACCTGAGGAACCAAACCTGTCAACTTACTGGGAAGGGGGGCGGGCAAAATAAACACGAAACCTTGTCAGTACAGAGAGAGAGAGTTTGCATTAGCACAACCACTAACACTGTGTCAACCACTGCCAGTTGTGAGCTAACAAACAACCAAAACAAATAAAAGACGGTAACTACGCTAACCTTTCTGATATATCTGCTGAACAATAAACTCCTCACTCCTCAAAAACTCCTGAGTCTGGGTCTGACTGAGGCTCAAATGTGTGGCTGAGTCTCTGCGGTGTTTACTTCACTAACCATCTCGATACGCACTGCTCCATCACCTGTAGACTCAGTGTAAGCAGCAATGGTGGCCAGGGCACAAGGCCTGATCCAGAATTTCTCAATGAGAAAATAAGAGCAGATGTGCTTCAAGCCCCAGTTTACCTCTTTTCTTTTTTTTTTACTTTTTATGTGGGAAAAACTATGTGAAACAAAATATTAATCATAGCAGAGTATTTTTTACATAGCTTAAAAAACTGTCTGAAGAGGAACTTTAAGTTATGAATGTCCTTATACGTGTTTCATTTCATTTGATTTTCCGACTATTCAGAAATAAAGTGAGGTTTAGTTGCTGCTGAGACATAAAAAAGATGCATTATAAATTCTAAAGCTAAATACTCAGCAGCAAGTAACGAGTTAAACTTGCAATGGTCTTTTTCGATACAACTACTGTTACATTAATATTATATGATTAAATGACCATAGTTTCATAGTATGTTACGTGATGACAGCTGAGCTGATTCCATCCATTGATGAAGACTGTGAGATGTGGTTGAGAGTTGGTTTCTGCAGCTGACCTTGAGTTATCATTATTTTATCAAACTACCACTCCTGGCTTCAAGAATGATTCTTCATGCTTAAATGCTTTGGTATAGCGCACACTCAGATCATTTGATTGACATAAAATACATACTAATACAAACACAAATGTGTACGCGCACCTGTATGCACTCACATATGATATGAAACACACTTTGCAGGTGCAAACGCTAGACTTATTCTTCAGTGGAACCTAAGTTACACTTCTCTAGTCAATTCATTAATGTCCACTCAGGGCAGTAAGCCTTGGCTGAGGGTGTTGTCTTCTCTGACCAATCAGAGAGGCTGAGCCTGTCTCTTTTTCCTCTCTGACGTCAGGCAGATGAAAGCAAGGAAAGAGAGAGAGAGACTGAGAGAAAGAGGAAGACGGGCTGATGATGGTGAGCGAGAGCTTAAGGAAGAGTCATATCAGAGGAGTTGCACAGGGTCAGCTGAGTGGGAGAGGAAAAGAAAGAGAGGGAAGGAGAGAGATGTGGCAGTGGAGGCGAGGAAAGAGATGCAGACAGATCACTGAAAAGAGATGGAAAAAAGGAAAAAAGTGACTACTGAAGGGGAGCGAATGAGAATGAAGAGTGTGCATCTTAAAGCCAGCTGTAAAAAGCGAACAGGAGATGAAAGAGATATAGTGACAGGATCACTTAAAGAGGTCCTTTTCCATGCTGACACGGTGCGTAGGAGGTGTGAAGGTTGTGGATTTGACACGACTTGGCAAATGGCCATGTGCACAGTTGGATGATGTCACCTGTCTCTTTTTTCTCGCTCCATTCTCCTCCACCTCTGACTGTCAGAGGGTCCAGTCCACCTCTCTCCTCCTCCCTGTCTCCCTCCATCAGGAATGCTGACAGCTGCAGAGAGACATTGCAATGATGAGACAGTGAACATCAGGGTGCAAAAAGGTCTTGACAAAGACTTAAAATGTTCATTAAGAATGAACCAACAATGTCAGCATCAGTTTAAGCTTCTTGCATGACTCATGGAAACAACACAGAATGTGGTTACTGTTTATAGTTTGAAGTCAGTCAGAATCAGAATGACTTAAGAAGCATCAAAGAAAATCATAGGAAAGGCCCTGAACCTTCCACTTGGTTATTTTTGATTTGTTTCTAAAATATTTTTAAAATAGACATTTACACATTTTTTTTTTAGCTTAATCTGACAAAAAAGTACTTCCAAGTGCCTTTGACAAACCAGACAGGACAACACTTTAAAAATAGATATAAAGGGGTTTTGATAGTGAATGACTCACTTATTATTTTGTACTGAATTCCTAGAAACTACAATCGAAAAAAAGCAGAGGCCTCAGCTGTGCAAATTACCCTTGAATGAGCAAGTGCTATCAGTACAGCAAGATAATACAATCAGTTCTACACATGTATGTACAGTTGTTTCAGAGAGGACGCACACACGCTCCCCAGCATGGATACTGGATGAGTCATGTCTGCCAGCCCTTACTGTTACTGTGATGGCTCCAGATTTAAGGGCCAGTAATCTGCATTCATCTCACAGACATTCTCTCTCCAACCCCCCCACCCCCATCTCTGTCTCTCTACTCTGTCTCACTCTTGCCCTCACACTACTTCTGTCTCCTTCACACGCACGCTCGCACGCACGCACACAGGTAGGAAAGTGTTGGGAGTGGTGTCAAACTGACAACTCTTTGTTGTGCCAAACACACACTCCGTATGTTGTTGACTGGCCACCTCTCAGGTGCTGAACTAAGTCAGGCGTTCAGGTGCAGCCAATCAAATTGCAGATCAGGAAATTGTATTATGAGACTCCTGGCCAGGTTCCTATCTCCATATGTCTACTAACAGAGCAAGGGGAAGCAGACACATACGCCACAGTTACATTCAAAGACAGAGCATGAAACTGAGAAACTACAGTTAAAGGCAAACAAGACAATCCCTGCCAAAGTAGGACATCTATCCCACTGCATGATCGCAGCATCCTGCAGTGACATAATATGTGAGAGCAAGGAGTTATGAATGATGAGCATTCAAGCACCCCTAGCAACGACACAACAGATGTTTGCCATTAGACCATCCGCAGTTTCAATTCCGGTTAATGTTCCTACCGAAACCCAGGCTGTGCACCGTGAACTGTTACCATTATGATCAGAGGTGAATCACAGAACAAGGAGTTCAAAAACATCAAGCAAATTGAATCTCCTTGTGTGAGCGCCTGCTGACATTTTGGCGATAAATCAGCAAATTCTGTTAGGGACAAGACTTATTCCCCACGGATCAGGAAAACACGACACTAGTGGCCTACATCACTGATTTTGTCCTTGAGCAGTTTAATACAAAAAGAAAATTTGTAAGCTTTTGGAATTTTTTAAGCTTAAACAAGTACACTGAGTGAAAGGTGCAATACCATCATCAACACAACAAGAGGGAATAAACACCTTTATTTGTTGCATTAATGTTTGCGAGCAGTTTCACAAAGTAAACCTCTGCCACAGGAAAATGCTTAAACTGCAGCTTTCATACAGGCAGCAGTAAGTGGTGGGGAGTTATCCATGGTGCTGAAATTCAGTGCTGAAGGTTTCCTAACAATATGTAACATTTGGTTTAAATTCCCGGAAATATTCAATACATTGTTGCATGATGTTTTGGCAGAGGGACACTGGCTGCACTAAAACTAATTGGATTGGTGTGAGATGAGCACTTTTCCCTCTCTACAACAAATTGTAGAATAAGCTGCCTCCCACCCAGCCTTAAGCACAAATTAATCAGGTAATCATCTCTTGTCTTATCCCCACTATACAGCCCATTAAAATTAAGCTACACTCTCTCGTCTCTTTGGTAGCGATCCATGCCATGCACGCTGACAATGATTAGTAGCTTTAAGGACGAGGATAAATACTGTAATTTACTTTCAGCACCCTAAGAGCAACTACAACCTATCTCTCCTCCCCTCTCTTTCTCAATCTTTGTCTCACACACACAAACACACGCGGGAACATTGCATATAGGGCCATACTGTAAGTCGTGTTTGTTTTAGACCCACTGACCAAACACAACACAACTGATAAGATGGGACCCACATACAGGAAACAGGTACGTGATATTGTTAAACCTACAAGCACAAACCTCATGCTTGTTCAGCTGCTTTCCACTTGTCCACAGGCTCAAGCCTGAGTAGATTTCACTAGTGTTGTCAAAGCCTCAATTTACATCTTAATTTCATCTCCCTCTGAAAACAGCAGTGTCGTTTAAGGATCTGTGGTGTGTAGAGACTACATTCAGATCCTTTACTGAAGTAAAACTACCAATACAGTCATGTTAAAATACTCCATTACAAGTAAAAGCCCTGCATGAAAAATACTATTTAAGTAAAAGTGCATAAGTACTAGCAGAAAATGTAGTTAAAGTATTAAAGTAAAAGTACTGGTTTGACTGACATATTATTATATATGACAGTGTGTTACAACATGTTGCTGCTGGAGGTGGAGCTAGTTTCTCTACTTTATGTACAGTTTTATTTACAGGGACACCAGATAATATGGGGTGTCGTGAGATGATTAATTGGAGGAGAGAAGAAAAAAAAACTAATTTTGTGATACACAAATCTGTTTTCAGTTCTTGGGCTTTTTCTATCATCTTTGATTTTTGGTGAGACGTTGGGTCATTTGAGAATTTATTGAAATTAAACCATGTGAGAAGTTTAAAGGGAAAAATCCCTATTCGGTGGAGCTGTTAACAACTCATCATCATCTGAGTTGTATCCCTGACAACACACTACTTTGTATAAGATGTCAGAAGCCAAAAGGGTCGGAGGCCACCGGTTTAATCTTTGACAAAGTGTTGTATTTTAAAAGCTTCTTGTCCAATGTCCAAAAAGTTAATCTTAAAACTAACAACTGCAGCTGTCAAATAAATGAAGTTGAGTAGAAAGTACAATAGTTCCCTCTGATGTAGTGGAGTGGAAGTATATTAAGTAGCATAACATGAAAATACTCAAGTAAAATATAAGTACCTCAAAATTGTACTTAAGTACAGTACTTGAGTAAGTGTACTTAGTTACAACACTGCAGCCTACATCATCTGTAGGAAATGGACCAGATCAATGAATCTTAATTACTGTATAGAAGCAGTGAGTGTGATGACTTAACTGCATTATTGTTCTTGTGAATGGACTCGCATCTCTTTCCTGCACCAAAAACAAGATGTCGCCAAAAGTGAGTGTGTGTGTGTGTATGTGTCCTGCCAAGACAATATCTAGCGACTATTACTCATGAAGAGCAGAGAGGATAGCCAAAACACCTTTAACCACCTTTATGTGTGCGAGTGCTCCCTCTCCCTCTCTCCGTGTGTGTGTGTGTGTGTGTGTGTGTGTGTGTGTGTGTGTTTGTGTGTGTGTGCATATAGGCAATAAGCTGCTCCGCCACTGCGCAACGATGGAGCTATCGCAACGATGGAGATGACGCAAACAGACCCAGCTCTCCAAAAAAGTGTTTCAAGACGAACATGGCGGCAACTTAACCGCGGTCCAAGATGACAATGGCCAACGGGAGAAAGGATTCTAGGCTTTCCGCCCAGGTACGGGACAGAGAAACCAGCCTGCGTGCATCGAAAGGGCTCGTTGCTCTCCTTTAAGTGAATCTGCAAACCGAACGGCGGCAGACGCGCAGCATCAGTACCGAGAGGCTCGCAACAGCTGGTCTCCCTGCACCCCCGACGAGAGAACAAACCCGGGGAGGGACGGTAAGAGAGAGGGGGGCATGCGGTCAAAGAGGACGCCGTTTCCCCCCGGAGAGCCATGGAGAACCGGGATGCGGCAGCGCTAAGCTTAATGTGTGCGGGCGCGCTAATTGGATCGGAATAGCACCAATTGCTGCGGGCGCGATAGAGGAGCGCCCTGGACCGGCGGAGGCACGGCACCCCACCGTTACAGAGGAGAACCAACCGGACTCCATCTCCCCCCCAAGTCAATGAGTATTGTGGCAGAGCAGCCCCCGCGGTGGAGTCGGCCAGGGCAGCACTTTTCTAAAATATGACCAGGGGTGCTTGGATGCGTCGGCAGCATGATGAAGGCTTAAAATACTGGTTTGCACCCCGAGAGAACGAGAAGCCATTTACCGAGTCGGAGCGGGCCCAGAGATGGCGACTGTCGCTGGCCTCTCTGCTGTTCATCACCGTCCTGCTCTCTGATCACTTGTGGTTCTGTGCCGAGGCGAAACTGACGCGAACCCGAGACAAGCGGTCGGACGAGGGGCTTGCAATTACGGACATGGGCGAGTACCCAAACTCCCTCCACCGACACCATACCCCAACATCACCTGACCCCTACCGTCTCGCCAGAGAGCAATATGTTATTTTTCTAGGGAATTCTACCAAATCTCTGTGGCGAATGGACGCCTGTCACCCTGACAGCCTGTCCAAAGACTGCTTTACTTTCACGGACGCGGAGACCGTGTGCCTGGGCCTCTCCGGTGGAGGGGAAAAGGGGACACAGTTGGCGTACGTGAATCTGAGCGATTTGTACCTTTCTTTTTGTAATTCCTACTCACTTTTGGATTTGTTTTACGGGTTTACGAGTCCGGTCGTTTTGAATTGCACCCTGGATATGGCCATGGGGGTGGATCTGCTGGGATGCAGCGAGTGTGTCCGGGCTTATCAGCGTCTTGACCTGGAGGCGGAAGAGAACTACCGGGAGTTTGAACTGCTGGTTCAGAAATACGAGACGGATGCATACTCGGTTAGGACGTGCATGGAGGAATGCAAGGTAGGACTAACGAGGCCAGGTCGCGCACGCGCATACACGCCAGTGCATTTAAGGGGGTGGGTTCACAGTCGTCATGGCAACCGTTGGGCATATCTGTCAGTATATTGGTATTTATTTTTTGAGTTCAGGCTGCCATTGGGCTACCTGTGCTGTTACTGCATCATGTGGCCTGTCAGGGTTTGCACAAGTGCACAGCTGCACGGAGGGACCAGAGGAGAGGTCACCAGATAATCTTGCAAGCCATTCACAATTTCCTCTCTCCATTTTCCTTGTTTCACCTTCTCAGGCTTTCTAAGTCTTTTGTGAGCTGTGACTGTGGAAGTGACATTTGACATTTGGAGGAAGGTCCAGGCTTGCACTGCAGCTGTATGAGATGAGTGGAGAGAGGGCTGTTGAGTGGTGCTCATTTCAATATCGTTAATAGCATGGGAGCGATTTCTGCACCTAATCCAGGCTTTGTATTGTCCCCAGTTTGCTTGTTGTTCCAATAACATGGCAGCCTTAGAGCACGTATCTCAGGCTCTGGAGTAGGCCTACATGTTTTGCTTGTCAGCAGCGTTGCACACCTGGGTTTACGTGAACTACACTGACACACACTTGGTTTTGATTTACTTTGTGCTACAAGGCCCACTCAGCTGTGCTGGACAATGAAAACCTATATCTAAACAGAAACAATGGGGATACATTGGTTGAATTACACTTGAATCTGTTTCATTTGTTGTATGCTGGAGTGCTCCAAAGGCTCTGCCCCCTCCACCTGATTAGCTAAATCAGGTGTGTTCATGAGCTCTTCTTTGGCTGAACACTCCTGAGAGACGGACAGGATTTAGAATCGGTGGTATTGAAAGCATGGGATATTGTTAATGACAGTAGGGAATATGCCTTACAAGGGTAGCAGAGATTTACGTTGAGCCTGGCTTATACTGTATCTGGTATACATGCAGTGCACACATTGTCATGCTGCATACACCGTATCTAAAGCTTTACTTGTGCTTGGCCGATCAACTCTTCACCTTTGCTGCACCATGTTTTTGATTGATGCACCATCCCATGGCAAATTTTCTCATCTTGAACATGAAGGTTTTTAAAAAATTTAAATGACAGTTTTTATCAAATATGTCTAAGGCCAGGAGGGCTGCATCATCACCATGACAACATGATGACACAGGTCAGGGGATGAACTTTCAAAAGCAGGAAGTCTTCCCTCAAAAGTGCCCAAATAATGATACTTCAACCCAAAGTCGTTTCTACAAGATGGATGTTGTATAAGGGCAGATGGTCAGGGAGCTGGGCTGTGAGTGCTGATAATCCATGTGTGTGTGAAGAGGGAGAATTACTGGGAGGATATACTGTGGGTAAACCTTCACATTAGAATCATACGCTGTTCATATGATTGTTAACCGTGAGTCATACCTTATTGTTATGCTTGTTTGTCAGACAGAGTGTACATGCATATAAATATATATATATATATATGTATGTATATATACAGTATGCGCTGTATGTTTGTGCATGAATATATTTCCTATAACATCTTATAGCTGCTTCCTTCTAATGCAATCTAATCAGTAGTGTGCATTTGCACTCCTACTCATTGCTAATGTAATAAGACTCAGGCAGGGCTACAGCAGCCTTTTAGCCCCTTTAGCCCAATCTGAATTGCTAATCTGCTTCAGTGTTCGTATGACCTTTGTGAAAGCACAGCACCCCAGGCCTGCATCACAAACCACTGCTCTTTGAAGAACCACTCTGTTGGACAGTAAAGATACTAGACAGCTTGAAACAATAATTATTCACTATTAACTCTTCGCTCTTTTATTTCTCTAATCTCAGGCCTGTTCAGTTTAAACAACGGCTCAAGGTTTTCTTTTCAAACTATTTAAGTGAATTGGAATTGTAAGATCACATGGTGTTTGTGTGTAGGATGCAGATGAGTGTTGTCAGTGCTGTACAAGTTTAGGTGATGGAAGAACAGGTAGGCGATAAATTCAAAACAAAGGAAGAGGGATAATGGAATAAGTGAGGTAAGATTAAGAGGTGAATTTAAAGGAGGTAAGAGAAAAAATAATGTTGCGTTGAAGGTGGGAAATGTCATATCTAGCCAACACATATAAACATTACACACACACATACTGCACGCATCAAAAGACATAAGTAGCCCACCAGTCACTATGAACAGATGTCAAATGTGGGTTGTTCTTTGAAAAGTAGTTTTCACCTGGATGGTGTGTGGCACTGAGTCTGCCTCGTTCACTGTCTGAGAGGGATGTGTAACTAAAGTTTGTCAGTCAGCTAAACCAGAAAAATAAAATCAAAATTCATTACAAAGCAAGCAAATGACTCATACGTGTGGATATCTGGTTGGTGCAAGTGAGGCATACTCTGCAGACAATAAAACAATCATTTTTGCAAAGTTATGTTAGGATTTCAAAAAGGTGTGTGAGGGCCTGTTAAATATCTTTTAATGCTAAGATGGTTTCTGTATCGTGAGCGATATTAACTTAAATCGGCTGTGGGGGGCCTTGATATGATGCAAACTGGTGTGTAGAGTATAAATTATTTGAAGTAGTGAGGTTGTTCTTGCTGAGGTGTATGATCAGAAGAGGCCGATGCAGGATGCGCTTCAGTGACGGACCTCCATCATGTGTGGTATAAACACAAACAGAGGCTTTCTCATCGTCAGTGGCCAAAATGCTCAGAAGTGCTTTGCAACAAATCTCATGAAAAGACAAAACACGACAATTTCCTGATCCCACTGCACTAACAAGTATTGTCAGAGTAGCTCAAGTCTGATAGATTTTATTCCTCTGTGCCATAAAGCTCGCATTGTTGCACTAGGTGACACGTTTTTTCAAAATTACGTCCTCAGAAGAAACAAATGAACTTGGTGTTGAAAGCCACAGACAGAGGAGGGAGTTTGCATTATCAGATGCAGCCTTTAACTGTGGTGGCTGTGGCTGATTCTTGTTCTGACTCTGACTTGTGGCTCCCAGGCTCCATTTCCTGGGAGTGTGTGCACAAATCCCACATCGTTTGCTAAATGAACAGTCCCAGACCATAGCCACCACTTCTACTATTAAATTACTCTAAACCCAAACAAGATCGTTTGATAGGCCTTTTTCACTGAGGATACTTTGACACAGCCGGGAACACACAGGTGTCAATAATAAAATGAATGATGGCCGAATTCCATATAGCTGCTTCAGTTTCAGAGTCCTGGCATTGTGTGCACTGGATCACAGTCGCACTGTGGAGACCGTCCTCCCATAACCGTTGCTAACTGATAGTCAATGTTGTTTATTTTAACCACGACTGCAGTCGTGTTGATCATTGTAACCATGATGATGAAGGTGCTTTAACTTTAGTGAAGTAAGTATTTGAATCCAAACTATGAACTTTCCCTAAACCCAACCATATTGTTTTTGTGCCTAAGCCTAACCAAACCATTACCATGGTATTGTCACATCACAGTTCTTTTTTTCAGCAGTGATTTTTAGCGGTTTATCTGTGGCATATCTACTGCCGTCAGTATGGGCACTAATTTAGGAGACGGTCTTGTGGGTTGTATCAGAGAGTAGGAACAAACAACCTATATGGCTGATTAGGGCTGGAGGACTTGTTGTTACTGGCACACACCAATAGAACAAAGCCATGTTCAACATTATTAGTAACACCTGTGCTTTTCCTACTATGATGAGTCAAACTGTTTGCTGTGAAAAAGGTCTATTGATGCACATTGTTGGGGGGCAGCAGTACCTAGCCTAGTGCTACCTAGTTGCTCCCTGATGAACTAATTTCAGGACATTAAAAACATCAGGACAATAAAAAAACGAACCATGTTTATAGTAGCCTTGCTAGGATCTGAGTATCTGATGTTTTCAGACCTCCATCATTTGAGATAGAAGAATGACCACGTGGCTGTGTACACAAAGGCATACAGACAGGTAGCATGAAAGGAAGTTCACATTATTATGAGCAAACAAGGCTCTTCTGCCACAGCCATCGCTGCACTGCCAAAGATCAGTCAATGTTTTCAGTGTTCAAGAAATTTGAACCTTTGGTGCAGAGTGGCTTGTGCAGCAAACAAGATCACCAACAGAAAAAACATCTCAAATTATACAGGAGGGATGTGGAAAAGCTGTCTCTCCTGTATCATATACAAATCTAGTTTTTATGTGCTCGTGCTTGGCAAAAGTCTTGCAGACTCATATGTTGTAACTCTCCCTTTGCTTCCTGTTCTTCTCTTTCCTTCGCTGTTTCCCCTTGTGTTCTTTACACCTTTTGATCTCTATATGTACCTATATGTTCCCCACACACACACACACACACACACACACACACACAGACACACACACACACACACACACAGAGAGCCCCATATGCAGTGTTTCCTGCAGGTCCAGACCTGACTGTCCCTTCCGGTGTAATTTAATTTGCACTCCCATAATTCTCTGCTTCTCTGGTGGCTGTGTCTCCAGGGCTCTGTCTCAACATGTTGATGTCCTTTCTCCCTCTATCCGTCACTGTTTCTCGCTTACTTTCACATCCTCTCCCTCTTTGTCTTTCTCCCATCAGTGTCAGAGCTCTGAGGAACCAACATCACACATACACACGTCCAGTATCTGTCTCTACATCACTTCCACTCGTCTCCCCCTCCTCCTTATGGACTTACTTACCATTGGGGGCCTTGGTCTCTCTCTCTCCCTCTCCCTCTCTGGAAATATATGAGTGTTGAGCTCTCTTTTCTGGCTGGAGTGATAGATACTGATCTAGGTTAAGGTCCTTTCCTTCCCTTCAATTACAGTCCTGTCCACACAGATCCCACTGTGTGCTCCTTCACCCAGCCTCTCTGGCCCTATGCTTATTAAATCACCTCTCCTCTATCACTCTCTGTTTCTACAAGACTATTCAGTTGAGCCTTCATTTAATTTAGCTGTTTAGGTTTCTGTGTTACAGGAGCACTAAACACACAGTGCAGCTGAAGCATTAGTTTTTCAGGT